TCCCTGATCGTGATTATCATCCAACTTTTGATCAAATTGAACAATTGAAATTTTTAGATTGTACCGTTAAGGAAGTTAAGATTCATGCCGCCTGGTAAAGTTCAATATCTCTTTATATTTTGAAATTATTAATTATCTACTTTATTACAACTCCAATTTATATGAATTAAAGTGCCTGTACTCTCTCGTACTAATACAAAAGACGAAATGTTTAATGATTACTTTATTCCAAAGGTATTTTCTTAAATGATTTTACATAGTACAATTTATTTGATAAATCATATTTCATATAACTTTAAAAATTTTTAGAACATACCTCCATCTACGCAACCCATCATGTTCCCACAATTTGGGGTGATGACACTGAATATTTTAACTCATATCGGTGGCTCAATCCAGAAATAACATCAAATACAACCAGTTATAATTTCATACCTTTTAGTACCAGTCCAAGAACTTGTGTGGGAATAAAAATGGGAACTTTAGAAGTTAAAACTATATTAGCAGTGATTATTAGAAATTTAGAGTTTAAATTAGTTGAAGGTTTTACTTTTGGAGTAAAGTATGTGAGCGTAGCTAAACCTCTTCCTGGAATTGATCTATTGGTTTCAAGAGTAAATTATTAAATTAAGTAGTATAATATTAATTTTTAAGTGATTTGTGATTAGGATAGCTATTATATTAGGCCTAACATTTTTACGTTGTATTCAGTTTACAGCAAACCCTCTATATAATTACTTCCATACAATCACAAACTCTACATAATTACACAATATTATGTTACCAGTAGTTACTAATAATGATTCCTCTGATGATTCTTCAGATATAGCAAAAAGTGTTTATAGTGTTTATAATATTTTTTCTAAGATGAAAACTTGATCACAAAGGTTCTTGACACTTCATTCAGAATCACACCAACCTTTTTGCCAACCATCACAATCCATCCAACTTTTCCATCAGCTCTCTTGTTCTTGACAAACATCCTCAAATAATGATAGAGACATTCCTTATTACTACAATGCCATTCTTATAAATCATGAAATAGATCACAAGAAAGACAATCAGCCAATCAAAATCAATCATGAAATTTGGATGGTAATTCTATATATAAGTTTTTTTTTTTTTTTTGAATATTGTACTTTTGTACTTTTTTTTTTTTTGCTTATTAAAGTTTTTTTTTTCTTTTTTATGAAAGTTTTTTTTTTTCTTATGAAAGTTTTTTTTTTTCTTTCTTATAAAAGTTTTTTTTTTTAAACAAATCTTTTGAATTGAAGAATGTACACTTAGTAGCCATCACACTGTTAATAAATAGCTTTTCATCCAAAATTGCACCTTATACATTCTAGTTCAGAAACTTCATAACAATGTAAAGAATGTTAAAACCAAATTACAATAACAAAAAAGAGAGCACACAAATAATCTTTCTTTTTAAGTATTGGAACTAAGTGCTTTAGCCTAATTATAAGTTTTAAAGATACACCTAAGCTGATGTCTTAAAATTTAGGACATATATACAAATATAGTAAAGTGTTACTTTTTTCACTATATATATTCCTCACTAAGGAAGTCATGAAGAACTATCTGAACTAAGTATATCCAGATTACATGTTTGAAATAAGTACAAATAATTTCACAAATCATTTCTATAGTGAATAATATAGTATCATCATTGAATATTATTATTTTTGTTATTGTTAATTTATATGTTTTTATTTATTTATTTTTTATTTGTTTTTTGCATTCATTATTACTTGTAATTATTTAATTTTTTTTAATGAGTTAATTAACTTTTTTGTCTTATTTCATTACTAGTTATTACAGAAAATAAAAAATTACCATAGTGTGGCACTATAAAATGTTTGAAATTCCATTTAGAAGGTTTTTAGATATGAAAAGCTCACTACTCTAAAAAACAATATTACTACAGCAGAAATTATAAAGTGAAAATAGTGATCAGATTTCTGCTTGTTTTTCTTCCTATTTCAGCAAAATAATGATGGTGTATATTGAATAGTAGTTATCACAAGGACTGCTTTCTCTATAATTGTAGTACCTGATTTATCACATTAGCTGTGTATGATATATTATTAAATTTATGATCACATAAGATTATATATACAGTAAATAGTATAAAACACTGTATAGTGAAGTATTTGGTAAGTATTTAATTATATATCATTTTATATTACTTTATATTAATTTAATATTAATGAGTTTGTATTGGATTTTGTATTGTAGGATAATTTTAATGAAGAAGGCCTCTTCTACAAATCCACTAAAGCATTAATAGACAATGAGTTAGAGAAAGATAATAAAAAATTGTGACCAACTACTCCAAATTATAACTCTGAACTAGAGCAAACATTGCAAACATTATGATCCAATTCGATACAACTTTCACAAAAAAATTTAAATAAATTGTTTATACTATATTGAAAGCAGTATTTTTATTTTTTGGCTTTGTATTATGCATTGCTAATCTTTAATATATATAATATTGATATTGTAAAAAATTAAATATATATAATAAATTGCTTTTAATAAATTGTTTTTAATAAATTGCTTTTAATAAATTTGATAGTTTATTTTAAAAGTTATATAACTTGTACACTTATTTTTTTATAGTATTATATTTTTGAGATATATATTGCTAACAAAAATAGTTATTTGTCAAAATAAGATATATATTGATTATACTCATAATCGATAATTATTGTTTGAAAATTAACTGGATATATATTGAGTATTATTATAATTGATGATAATTGGCAGAGGTAATTATAATCAATATATATCTATGTAGTTAGTAATAAATATATATCTTTATATAAATTTTGAGATGATATATATTGTATGTTAAAATCCAATAGACATTAATTCTAAATTAACTTATGTTAATTTAAATTTAAGATTGACATAAAAATAAAATTTTATTTCAAGCTAATATTATGTTGATTTAAAGCTAACAATAGTAATAGTAGTAGTGATGTGAATAATTTTACTTGGTAATTAATAATTATATATAAATTATTTTGGCTATTTTTATTTTTTCTTTCATATTTTCACAATGAAAAAGAATAATAATAAAGTGTTTTCCTTTTATAAATAAAGTGCTTTTAATTTGTTTTTAGAAAATTATATTTAAAGTAAAAATATTTGTTACCAAAAAAATTATTTATAACACAACAAGTATATGATCAAGTTATACATGTTATTTTAAATCCTAAAACAAGTTGTGAAACAACTCAAGATAGGTATTGAATATAATTAACATTTACAATAAAAAATATTAAAACTGAAGAGGATCCAGGTTATTATCTTTATTATAAAAATAAACCTGCTGCTGTAAAAGAAAGCTTTATAATATTCTTTGTAGTACATACAAAAACAACAGCATAGTAGTCAACAAAAATTATAAAATGAACTTTGAAATCAATATAGTTTTATTCATCAAGATTTGGTTAAAAAATTTGTTACACAATGTAAAACTTGTGAACTACATTGTAATTTTTTTCAACATGTTGCAGCAAAACCAATAATTTATACTAAATTTATAACAAGTATTGAGGTAATTATAAATTTATAATTTTAATTATTATTATAAATTTTTAATAAATTAATATATTTATAGGTTGATTTAATTTTAATGTCGAGTAAACCTAATAATAAATACAAATATATATGCTATGCAAAAGATCATTTTTCAAAATTTTGTTGGTCATCACCTTTAATCATCAAATATGTTTAAGAAGTTGCAATTGTACTTTTTAATATTTTTATTATATCTGGCTCTTCTGTTATCTTATATACTGATAATAGTAAAAAATTTACAGCAAGTATAATTTGCCAATTAATATTTCTATAGCCAGACATTTAAATTATTAATAAATGCCTACAGCATCTAGAGTCTTAGAGCTCTATTGAAAAAACAAATGATAGCTTAGAGCATAAATTATTTAAATAAATAAAAGATGAAAAAAGCACAAATTGAACACAGAGACTTCTGTTAGCAACACATGCAATGAATACTGAAATATCTCATGTCACAAAACATACTCTTTATGAATTAGTATTTAGTTAAAAAACAATGAAAACATCTTCTTTTATTAACTATATTTTATAAAGCTAATATAATTAATGAAGAAGAATTATTTGACAGAATAATTCTTGAAACTAATTATGAAGCTTATAATAATAGTGAATTAAAGCAAAATAATGAATTTGAACAAATTATTGAATCTGAACAAAGTATTCAATCTGAACAAAGCATTGAACATATCATTAAATTTGACCAAAATATTGAGTCTAAACAAAGTGTTGAATTATATCAAAATGTTATATTAAATCAAAGTATTGAATTAAATCAAAGTATTGAACAAAATCATACTATTAAATTAAATAATCAATATATTAAATTAAATTAAACAAATGAATTAATCAAACTACTAAATTAAATAAAACTATTGAATTAAATCAATTTATTAAATTAAATCAAAAAGCTATAAATCATTTATTTTTTTATATTATTATTTAATTTTTTTTATAGTAATTACTAATTATATATTTTAGAATAATAAATTAAACTCTAACTTAAATGAAAAAAATTATAGTAATACTGCTAATGTTGAAATCAGCATGGATCAAAATGTTAAGATAAATAATAATATAACATATTTGTTATATTTAATAGCAATGATTATATAATTTTATAAACATATATTTAATATAATAATTTAAAGCAAATTACATATTATGAAAGACACAATACAATAAAAGATAAAGAAAATGTATTACCAACTTTATATAAGATTTATCATAACTTAGCAGCTAAATTTATACAAAAAGAAGTACAAAAAATGAAAAAACAATTAGAAAAATGAAACAAAAAAAGAAACATTAACAGTCTTTTACAAAAAGATACTTATATAAGAATCCAGATTCCATCAAGTAACTGATCAAGTACAGATTACAAAGCTCTTTTATACAAAATTGTTGAAGTTTTGCCAAATAATCTATATTGACTTGATTGTACTGCAGAAATAATTAATAAGTGTTATTCAACAAATAAAATGGAGTTAATAGGATCACAAGAGTTTACTAAACTTAAAAACATACCTAATTCTTTAATTGGTGTTTATGAAGCTGCACTTGCTTAATCAGCATCAACTATTGCTGGTATTTATTGTAATTGTTATACCAAATATGATTAAAATTGGTATAGATATAAGAAAACTAGTATTATTTGTAAATTAATTGCCATTTAAGCAGTAATCATTGTGTTAATTGTAACAAATAGCATTTAAATACTAATAGATAGTTTAAGTTTACATATAGTTAGTGACTTTATAAAGTTACAAGCAATTGTTTCACATTATAAAAATTAGAATTTAATGTTATATAGCTAGAAATAAGTATTATTTGGATATTATTTTGTATCTAAAAATCAAATTAACCAAATTTTTTTATTTTGCAAATATAATTTTAAATTGATATAAATTTAAATTTAACATATTTATTATGTCAATTTTATATTTATATAAGCAAACATTAATTGAGCATTAACATAATATTAGCTCTAAATTTTAAACTAACACAAGTTAATTTAAAATTCACATAAATTGAACTTTGATATACAACATATACATAAATCATATTTTAAATACTTATGAAAACAATACTTCTACTTTACAAATTCATAATACCCAAAATTTTATATTCTTATCACTATAAATATTTTTACTCAAAAATTTATTACAAATTACTATATTTTACTTTTTTACTTAATCAAATCTCAATTCAATAACTGGTTCCAAAAATTCTTTACACATTACAAAAAACAATTTAATAACATTAATGAACAAAAGTCTATAACTATATCAAATACCAAATAATAACAGCAACTAATAATGAATACAAAAAACTAATTCTCAAAAGCCTGAACTACCAATTAATTAATTTATTTAAAACTGAACAAATTATGCTACCAAAATAGTGATACATTACATATACATCTGCACCAATTTGGAATAATGCAACATTCTTAATCCAAATCAACTTATAATATCTATAATTTAACTTCTTACTATTTTAAACAATTTTTTAATACTATACCTATTCAAAAACATCTATATCTATTTTAAACTTTTTTACATTTATCTCAGCAACATTTAATACACTCTTACCTTTTAAAGATTTTTATAAACTAGCTGATCAATTTGAATAAAACTTTATCCAACTAAACAACACATCTACTAATCCAAAACATACATTCTATTTTTTTTATTATTATCTTGAAGCTTACTTTAAATTTGTAGTAACAAATAGTGAAATTATTATTTTTTTGGTATTAAGGTGAGGCCTTGCTCATATTTTTATTGGTAGTTTTTAAGGTTAGTAACTTTATAGAATTACTATGTACAAAAATAATTCTATATTAATGCTATAGCCAAGTTAACACTTGCAGTTAGGGCTAATCATTAAACTGCTAATTATATATAACTAACTTAAATACAAATAAGAAGAAAATTATATTCAAGAGTGAAGCTTAGACATATTTATTTGTGACCTAAACCTACTAGAGTAATCAAAACCTATCTAGATTTGGATAGTTAAAATATTGTTAAATGAAATATTGTATTTGATCTAGAGAATAGTTCATATGTTAATTTTCTAATAGCATAGCCAAGAGGTGGGCATATATTGGACTTTGAGTGTACTTGGTCAGGTAGTTTATATATATATATGTATGTATATGTTTGGCAGTTGTATTTAGTTTGTCTATTATAATTAGTTTGAGTTAAGTATTTGGAAAAAGAAGGTTTAAAATCTTATTGTTTTTTCTAATTTAAAAAGTTTATGCAATATGGTTTCTAGAGTAGTTTGTAGCATAACTCATTGATTTCAAGTAGTATTTTAATAACCATTTGTGATGCTAATTTGTAAGAAATATTAAGGTTTTGAATTGTTTGAATTAGAGATTTGGATATAAGTCCTTTAAGAATAATATCAAGATAGAATGAGTTTTCATTAAATGGTATCTGATGAAAGGTTTCATGGTTTTGAATTTTTTGAATAAGTTCTTCTTGTTAATGTTTAGAGATGTCTAATTGCTTTGGTTAATATGTTTGGAGATAGTATCTTGAATAATACTAGTAAATAGTGTTAGATTAGAACATGTTTGCCAATGTGTTGAGGAGTTAAATAAGTTGTAGTAAAAGCAGTTTATATTATAAAAAGTATATGTATATATTTTATAACATAGAAAGTATTATTGACATTAAGAGTTTTACATATTTTTGATCATAACTTTTAATGTACTGAACCAATTTAGATGAAACAACTACCATTGGATTCAGCTCACTAAGATGTTTCTAAGAGCAAAAGATCATGTGATTCTGATCACGAGATCACAAGATTGGGACAATTTTGATAAAAATACTAATTCTAATACATTTGACTTAATTCTGATTGGCTCAAATTACTGTGCCAGAAATCTTACATTTCTTACAGATCTTATAGATCTTATAGATATTACAGATATTATATTTCTATTAGATCTATTATTTCAAACAAATCTATCATTTCTATTATATCTACTATATTTATTATATATATATATATATTTTTTTAATATTAATAATGAGGCCATGCCTTTATCTTTATTGAATATTTAATTGAGATTTTACATAAAGTACAATTCTGCTTTTAAAATATTAT